CCACAAGGCCTGGCTATTTTTTGGTTGCAGCCATCTTTCTCATTTAGTGGGCCTGGGCTGGATTTGAACCCGCCAGCTCAGGTGTATGTGGCTGACACCTTAGCCCCTTGAGCCACAGGCGCCACATGAGTTTTGTAGGACACATTAAAACCACAGCACTATCCTTGTGTGAAGTGGTATCTGTATCTCATTGTGGTTTTGATTTGCATTTCCCTGATAATTAAGGATATTGAGCATCTTTTCATGTGCTTTTCAGCCAGTTGGATATCTTCTTTGGAGAAATGTCTATTTATTCATATCCTTTTCCCATGGTTTAATTGTGTTGTTTTGTCTTTTTGTTGTTGAGTTCTTTGTATGTTCTAGATATGAAGCCCTTATTTGGGGCTAGAATTTGAACCCAGCTGGCCTGCACTTGAACCTCACTCTGAACTCTGCTTCCTCCATCTCCCCATCTCCCCACGGGCTTTGGGCCCTCTGTAGAGTGGGGCTGAGGTTTATTACCAGTTGCTGGCCTTGTGTGCTCGTTCTTCACATGTGCTAGGGCTATCATCCTTGTGGATCTAATTGGGTCATTTCCTTGGCCTGCTTCCAGGGGGATCGCTTCTTGGGTCGGAGAGTCCAGGAGACTGCAGAGAGCTTGTCACAGGCTTAGTGGCATTGGGTCAGGCCGGAGGCAGGAGTGGGGGCCAGGGTGGTGGGGTGTCCTGGCTCTGCCCACCCCTGCTGGCTGTGCAGCATTGGCCCTGAGAGGCTCATATTTGGCCACCTGGAGGAGTTCTTGGGTCTACTGCTCACTTGGTTTGGGGCCAAGAATACGTAGCTGCAAGGTGAAGCAGGGCTTGGCGGTGCTCTGGTGAGCAGGCAGGAGGGGTCCAGCTGTAGGGCTGGTTGGGCTGAGGGATTTTGTCAGCTTCTTGGGCAGCTGGGCCTATGGTTATAGGACATGGGAACTGACTTCTTCCCAGCATCTCCCAGCAGACACAGGATATTCTGCTGTTAGGAGTCAGGATGGTTCAGTGGGGATGAGACCTTGTGAGGGAGGCACAGCACGCCCTCACCACCTTATATCAGGGACTCTGAGGCCCAGAGAGGGGCAGAAACACCAACAGCTCTGCCACACAAGGAGGACAGGGCCCAGCAGGTTTCTAGGTGTGAAAGACCCTTGAGCCTGAGCTTGAGTTTTGGCAGCTTGGCAGGAGGGTTTTAGGCCTGGGTCCCCTTGCCTGAGGCAGAATCTCTCTGCCCATGCATGTGTTTCTCCTACACACACTAATTGGTCTTCAGTTGCTAGAGAGATATAACTGTACCTTGCAGGCTGGTGTCCCTGTACCAGGCACATCCTCTTGGGATCTGGAGGCCAGGGACATGCCTTCAGGTGTGGGAATTCCCCCCACTTTCGTATCTCCTGAGCCTTAGTCTCCTCATCTCTTGAGGCCATGACAGCCATCACTGGCTGTGAAGAAGGAGAGGGACTGAGCAGGCTGAGCAGCAGTGGCCCTTCCTGTCTGTGCTAGGGGCAGGCACCTCCTGCAGCACTTGGACAGAGCTGGGGCATATTCCTTCTTGGCCTGGGCTGATTCTGGCCTGGGTGTCAGCCTCTGCTACAGTCCTGGGGGACCCTCTTCACAGCTAGCTTTGAGGAGGGGGAGCCTGGGCCTCCTGCTTATTCACTTGGTGGGGTGGCATGGACATGGATGATGCTAGGGACCCTAGAGACCAGTGCTGACTGACCTGGGGGTGCTCCGGAACAAGCTGCCTGTCCTTCTGACTTGGTTTCTACAACTGTGATGGTGCTGGCTCCGTCTCTGAGGGTCTGTTTGGCCTTGCTTAGGAGCCAGGGGACACAGTGGACCTGGGGGTATCTGTCACCTGAAGTAGGTGGTGACCCCCCCATCCTTCCTCACCCTTGGGTACAGCCTCAGTCTCCTTACCTGCCCTCTGCCTCCAAACTGCCAATCCCTCCTGCCAGAGTCACAGGTTTCTGAAGGCACAGCTAGCTGTCTTACCAGACCCCCGGCCTGCCTCCCCCAGGGGTCTGGGCATCCACCCCACCCTGTTCCTCCCACCTTTTCTGTAGGTTCGGCTGCTCCTTCTATGCACCCCCATGTTAAGCCAATTCCTTCCCCCCCGCTTTTATAAAACAAAATACAGAAAATAATAAACATACACCATGCAACATGAACACATCCAACATCTTACCGTGCTTCCTTCAGTTCTTGCTTGTTTTATTTATTTATTTAATTTGAGACAGAGTCTCACTCTGTCACCCTGGGTAGACTGCTATGGCATTATCACAGCTTACAGCAACTTCACACTCTTGGGCTCAAGTGATCCACTTGCCTTAGTTTTTCTATTTTTAGTAAAGACAGGATGTTACTCCTGCTCAGACTGGTCTCGAACTCCTGAACTCAAGCAGTCCACCTGCTTCGGGCATGAGCCACTGCACCTGGCTTTTGCTAGCTTGCTTGCTTGCTTGCTTACTTACTTATTTTTTAAATTTCAGAATGTTAGGTGGTATACATGTTTTATTTATGTACTTTGTTTTTGTGCAGACTGAATCAAAGTTATACAGGTAAGTGTGCCCCTCATTCAGATAGTGTGCACTATACCCAGTAGGTGTGAATTTACACATTTTTCTCTTCCCCCGCAGCTTGCCTTACTTTGAGGTTTACATCCATACGTAAACTTAAGGTTGATTGGTTGATTCCAATTTAGTATTGTTTCTCCATTCTTGTGAAGTTTTACATAGAAGATTGGTTTCCATTTCTATCCAGGTTGTCTAAAAAGACACTAGATTGACATTTTTTATGGCTTTGTAGTACCCCACAATATACATATACCATATTTTATTAATCCATTTTTGTATTAGTGGGTGCTTGGTTGTTTCCACATCTTTGCGATTGTGAATTGTGCTGCTATAAACATTCTAGGTGCAACTTGCTAGTTTTAAGAAGTGAAACTCTTGAGACAAAGTTGGAATCCTCAGCATTCCCCTTACTGGCCACCCATACCCACCCCCCCAGGTACCATGGGGGTTTGCAGTCCATGTGGTCACTCTTCCGTTGTACCTAAGCCCCGACTGCATGGCATGGTCATGGTGCGGGCCTGGGCATGAAAGGCTGGGCAGCTTGTAGCTCTGTGGCTGCTTTGATTCCTGGCATTATGTCCTTATGTTTCTGGGACCTGTGTTGACACCCGCTTTTTATTTAGGCTGGTGGCAAATCCCCTGAATCTGGCAAGTCTCTTTAGAACCCTAAAGAGAGGTAGGTCTGCACTCTCAAGGTCCCAAAGCACAAAGTCAGGGCCAGGTCTTACAGTGATGCCAAGATCCTCCTTTGAAATCCTGGGGGGTGGACAAAGGGTGCTGGCTAGGGGCTGAATTTATCTCCATGTCACTGCCTGGGGGCTTATAGAACAGGTGGAAGGAGGGAGGAAGAGCGGTTGAAGGGTGGACTGTGTGCAGATGGTAGCCCATGCCTGCAGTGGGTGCCCACCTCAGATGTGTCCTCCTTGTCTTACCCACAGCCAAGTACCCAGCCATCAAGGCCCTGATGCGGCCAGACCCGCACCTCAAGTGGATGGTGCTGGTGTTGGTTCTGGCGCAGCTGCTGGCCTGCTGGCTGGTGCGGGGGCTGACTTGGCGCTGGCTGCTCTTCTGGGCCTACACCTTCGGTGGCTGCATAAACCATTCGCTGACTCTGGCAATCCACGACATCTCACACAATGCTGCCTTTGGCACAGGCTGTGCTGCCCACAACCGCTGGTTTGCCATCTTTGCCAATCTGCCCATTGGCCTGCCCTATGCTGCCTCCTTCAAGAAGTACCACGTGGACCACCACCGCTATCTAGGTGGTGATGGGCTGGATGTGGATGTGCCCACGCGCCTCGAGGGCTGGCTCTTCTGCACACCAGCACGCAAGCTGCTCTGGCTGGTGCTTCAGCCCTTCTTTTACTCGCTGCGGCCACTCTGTGTCAACCCAAAGGCTATGACCCGCATGGAGGTGTTCAATGCCCTGGTGCAGGTGATGGCCGATGCCACCATCTTTGCCCTATGGGGGCTCAAACCTGTGGTTTACCTGCTGGCAAGCTCTGTTCTGGGCTTAGGCCTGCACCCCATCTCGGGCCACTTTGTGGCTGAACACTACATGTTCCTTAGGGGCCATGAGACCTACTCCTACTATGGGCCCCTCAACTGGATCACCTTCAACGTGGGCTACCACATGGAGCACCATGACTTCCCCAGCATCCCAGGCTGCAACCTGCCCCTTGTAAGTAGCTGGAGGCCAATAGGGCTGAGATGGAGCAGGACTGACATGGGTCTAAGCAAGTGGGGAGGTCTGTGGAGGGCCCTGGGCCATGTTTGGGCTGCTTTTTCCTTTTTGTGATGGTCATGGGATGGCCACGCCCACTTGTGGTTCCTAGGGATCAGGAAGGGCCATACAATAGGGGTGAATCTTCAGCTGGAGAAGGAAGTACATTCAGGGAAGCTGGGTCTAGAGAGGCAGTTTGTAGTTTGGGCTGCTTAGCTCAAGGGAAATCTGCCTGAACCCTGCCCTGCTACTTACTGGCTGTGTGTTCTTAAGCAATCTGCTTGCCATCTTTGTGCTGCAGCTTCCTGTTCTGCAAAGTGGGCTGGCATTTGTGATATTACATGTAAAGCACCCTCCTTCCTACCTCCAGACACCCTGTCCCTGCTCATTTCTTGTCACTTTCCCATGATCTCCCAGAGGCCCCTCCTGGCTCAGACATGGCCAGTGTGAACGGGGTGGGCCTTGCCTTTTGTAAACCAAAGAGGTTTTGCCTGAGCTGCCCGGAAGCAGAAGCCTCTTAGCACCTTTGCCTTGGTCTTTGTCTCCCTGGATTTGGAGAATTTCTGAATGAGATAAGAGGAAGGGGAGGGAGAGGAGGAGTCCCTCTGCTGTTCCTGTCTGGCACCTTGATGGCATCCGACTGCTTAGAAAGACTTGAGATGACCTGTGGTAAAGGGGAATAAACAGGAAGAGGCAGAGGTGGGGATGTTTGGGTCCCCAAGTTTGCAAGTCTGTGTGTGCACATTTGTGTGTATGTATGCCCTATTATTATGCATGAGTGCAGATGTTTGTGTATACATGTGTTTGTGCATGTGGTTACATGAATGCTTGTCTGGGTGTACAGTGTGCACCCCTGTGTGCACATGTATGTGCCCTGCCTCATGTGATCCTGGAGTCAAGACGGCCCACGTGCCTGTCTTAGCTGTGCCTGGCCCCTCCTTTCCTGCCAACAGTTCCAGAGCCTGCTCTGTGCCGGTACCATCTCTTGTTACCCATCAGCCCTACTTTGCAGACAGGAAGGCAGAGGCTTGGAGAGGGATGCTACCTGCGCAGGAAGTGGCAGAGTGAGAGTCTAGACATGAGCTGGTTAGAGCACCAGCCTTTACTTCTGAGCAGAGAGGCTCCAGGCCCCAGGCACAGGCCTTGCCTCTCTTAGCCCTGTCAGTCTCCTAGGCAGTGGGGCTCCATGTGCCCTATACCCTCACGGCTTCCTCCCTGGGGGCAGGAGGGCATCCTGCCAGGCCAGGGACTCATGCTGGTGGCAAGCAGACCTGCAGATGTAGGAGTGGAGTGAGGCCTGTGGAGGGAGTGCAGGACAGACATCTGGGAATGACCAGTACTGAGGCAGAGAAGAGGGTGTGATGGTGAGGGCCTGAGGGGACCAAGTTCAAGAGCAGGCTGTGACCCCATGGCCTAGCAGGACTCTGGCTAGGCTGGGTCAGAAAGTTGGAGGTGAACCCTAGAGAAGGGGGTGTGTTTGACCTGCTTGACTCCCACCTGGGGGTAAGCTCCAAGCTGTGCCAGCTAGTGTTCACTATCACAGGGTCTTGGGCTCAGCTTGGGTCACTAAGCCCCTCTTCAGGCAGTACCAGCCTTCAGGGAGCCCGAGAGGTATAGGTCAGGTGGGAGGTGGACACCAAGAGATGATGTGTATGCACATGTGCTGTGTGCAGCAGAGAGGACCAACTGAGGTGTCCCTGACCAGTCCCTCCTCCCCACAGGTGCGGAAGATTGCGCCCGAGTACTATGACCACCTGCCACAGCACCACTCGTGGGTAAAAGTGCTCTGGGATTTTGTGTTTGAGGACTCCCTGGGGCCCTATGCCAGGGTGAAGCGGATGTACAAGCTGGCAGAGGATCGTCTGTGAGCCTGGCTGGCCTTTATCTCAGGGGTGGGAGCCCTGGGTTGCTCCTGCAGGTTGCCACTGTCCCCTCTCTCTGGCCACAGCTCAGTGCCCCTGAACTGTTTGGGTTGCATTTGATTTCTGTACTGGCTCTTATCCCCCAGGGGGCCCTGGAATTGCCATTGGCAGCCAGCCCTGGCAATGGTGGGCAGGGCTGCAACCTGGAGCCATCTGATCTGCACCTGGACTCGCTATGGGCCTCAGGACAGGCCATCCCCTTTTGGCTTCAGTGGGTGAAGACTGGGCCTGCTCTGCCATACTATGACTTCGGTGCTCTGTGCCTGTGGTCTCCACAGAGCTGAGATCTCTAGCATACCTACAATCTAAATTAAATCCGGCATTTGTTGTCACTATCCATGGATTGTGCTTCTAAGGGGGGTGGTGGCCTGGCTGCCCTGGCTGTGGAACCTGAAGCCTGAGTGGTGCTTCCTCTTGGCTAGTCCCAAGCCATATCCCGTTTGCTCTAGCTCTTTGGGAGGGTGGTGGCTTGCTGCTCAGGCAATGTTCCCTGAGGGCCCCGCCACAGTGAATAGTGGCCTCTGAGGTGTGCATAGCAGAAGGCATGCCTAGTTACTCTGTGTGGCCTGAAGCCCCTCTCCACCACCACCTGCCTTGCTGCTGGCACCTGCCTGCCTCCTGTGGGAAGACTTCCCCAAGACCAGCGAGGGTTCCCACCCAAGAGTGGGGTCTATCTCCCCAACTGTCAGAGATGGGGACTTAGTCAGCTCTGCATAGAACAAGTGCCTGAGCTCAGATGGCTAGGCAGAGACGAACCCTCAGCAGGGGGCAGGGTGGCAATGTCCATGGAGGGACACATGTCTGTCCTTTCTGTAGAAAGGCTGATGGCACAGCTGGGACTCAAGGAGGCTTCCTTCTCTGGAGGGGGTAGACTGGGGTGGGGTGATGGGGTCCTGGGGTCCCAGAGGCAGGCAGGCAGCAGGAGGGGTGCCTGGGTGAGGCCCTGAGAAAGCAGCCTCTATGACTTAGGGAAGGGAGACTGAAGCTGAGCTTGGGGCTTGGCCAAGGACCTTCCCACTGGTGGGGGTAGTAGGGGCTGTCGCTGCTGCTCTAGGAGAGGGAAGGTTGGAAGGAGGGTGAGGGCACACAGTGCTTGTCCTATGCCTGGGAGTGGCCTTGCATGGTGGCAGATATCTCTATCTCCAAATGGTCTGACTGCTAACAGGGTACAGAGAAGAGAGGCCTGAGCCCCAGGGCTTATTCTGCAAGAGGACTTTGATCCTACACAGGGGGCCCCTCCCTGCGCACACAGGCCTGCCCATAAGCCAACCCCTTCTGTGGACTGGACCTAGAGAGCTCCTCCAGGCACCAGCACTGCAGACAGCACAAAGGGACATGTTCAGGCCTCACCCATAAGCTGTAGGCCAGGGTCTGAGGGTGCTTCTGTCAGCAGTCCTGAGGAGGAGACTTCTTTCTGGGGAGAAGGTGTCAGCAGGGGTTGGGTGCCTTTAGGGCTGCACTGGCCCTCTGAAGGCCACCTTCCAGCTCCTTAGCCCCCCAGGCCCGTGACTATGGGATCTCTGTACTTGGGTTAGAATGGCCATCAGAGCTGGGAAAGGCGACTCTGAGAGCTGAGCTTTGCTTGGCTTCTCACCTACCAGTGGGCAGAACAATCATATCCCAACTTTCAGGGTTTCTGGAATACTCAGTGAGTTAAGGTACATCAGGAGCCAGACCAGGGCCCCTGTAATCAGTAGACCAGGCCTGGAAGGTGAGCATCTTCTCCCAGTGGCCCTGAGAAGGTGGCTGGGCATATGGACTGCTTTGTGGCCATGGGAGGTCATGTGGGACAACCAGAGCATGAATAGTCATAGGACCTCAAGGCCTACAAGGGACCCTTTATCTCCCACCACAATGGGGAGTTGATTCTGGTGCTGGTGGCAGGCATGGGGACTGCTCCTGATGCCACAGGGCAGAAACCTTGGAGGAACAGATCCCAAGGAAAGACAAAGCTACTTTCCCTTTACCCACCACCTGCTGAGCCACAAGTTCCCATTCCTTCATCTGAACGGGACACCTGTGAGGCCTTGCCAGGCAGAATGCATACAGGGCCTCCATGGTGTTGCAAGGCTTTACCCCCAGGACACGCTCCTGGGTCTCTGGGATGTTCTGATGGAGCCTAGCCACTTACTGGTGACCTTGTATTTCTCTTATGACTCCTACTCACCATGTTCCTGGGCCCGTCCCTAAAAGGGGCACCCCCTGCCAGGAGGTTAAACACAAGAAAGAGCCGCAACCCAGGGTGTGGACCATAAACTGTTTATTACTGTGTGGACATAGACACCGCAGTGTGTGGACAGACAGTTTGAACACCATGATTGCTGGGGATGGAGCTGCACTCAGACAGCTCTGCTGTGTGTGGTGACACCATGCCATGCCTGGCTGTCATTGCCAGCTGAGGTGCTAAAAGTGTCACCTAGGAGAAAACTTGGAAACCATCTAATGAAGCAGGATTTGGGGGCATCTTCTCTATAAACTAAAAGAAATGTACACTTAAATAACAAATATAAAATACAAAGAAAGACAAGTAGACCTGGTGTTCTGTGTCAGGTAGAATCTAAAAAAATCCCGGAACTGAACTTTGTTTCCTTGTTTTACCATTTTATCACAGATTAAGACTTATATAAATGAGTACATCCAAGCTCCTGTGTATGCTCTGCGTGTGCTGGAGGCCTGGGGCTGGATGGCCTTCTTGCTGTCCTCTTGGATGGACCTGATGTCTCAGCGCCGCCACCTTATGTAGTGCTGATTCCACTCAGCTCCTGCCTGATGGCTGAGGAACAGGGTACAGGGGAAGCTCAGTGCAGTCATGACCAGCCCAGCCCCAGCTTCTACCAGGTGCCTGGACTGTGTCCCTCTGTGGACCTTTCCAGGGCCCATCTCCCCTACTCAGTCTCCTGGGGGAGGCTCCCAAAGCCTTGGGGCACAGGCTAGAGGCCCAACAGTGCTGTGGTCCTTAGCATAGACCTTTGGGGTGACAATAAAGTGAGTAGGATCTCATCTGTCATTTCTCCTGTAGTAGTCCATGCTGTCACCTCTTTGTTAGGAGGAGCCAGCTGGGGGGTGGAGGCCAGTGACTAGCCCATGGCCTTGGAACTGCTGAGGGTGGTGGGCTCCAGGATACTGATATGAGGAGCTGCCCTGTGCTGAGATGCAAGATCTTTGGAGGCCCTGGATAGGTGGGCACCCAGGTCTGTGGGGGAGTTTGGAAGCCCCTCCTTGACAGAGTAGAGGCTAGGCTTTGGCCTACCTGGCTTCTGCAGGGGCAGGAGAAGTTCCCGACTTGGGAACCCTTCCCTCCTCTACAGCTGAGGCAGGGGCTGCTCTTGGCCCTCTCCCAGCTTCCTCTCCCCTCAGGGTTGTGGCGAATGCCCTCTATCCCTGCCCAGGTCTCTCTCCAGATTTGAGTCTGTCCCTTCTCCCTCTTAAGCCTTTGGTGTCCCCTGTTCCTATTCCTCTTCCTCCATATCATCTCAGGCCTCTCCCTCAACAGACCTCACTGGGCCAGGGTGGGCCACCATCAATAGCAGGGTACCACTTCTCAGGGACCCCTGGCATGGCTTGTGCTTTCCCACAGGCTAGGGTGGCACCTGTGGCAGGCCGAGGGCTTAAGTTTCCCATAACACCACACTGCTTCCATCCCAGCTGCCCCCTCTGCAGAGAGGCTGGCTGGGCAGCCCTGCCTCTGGTCCAAGGCCTGCTCCAGGTTTCTTTCTTTTCTTTTCTTTGGAGACATCAAGTTTCACTATGTCACCCTCAGTAGAGTGCTGTGACGTCACAGCTCATAGCAACCTCAGAAATTTGGGCTCAAGCAATTCTCTTGCCTCAGCCTTCCAAGTAGCTGGGACTACAGGACCTGCCACAACGCCCAGCTATTACTTTGTTGTAGTTGTCATTGTTGTTTAGTAGGCCTCGGCCAGGGATTTAAACCTGCCAGCCCCGATGTATGTGGCTGGCGCCCTAACCACTGAGCTATGGGTGCCGAGCCTGCTCCAGGTTTCTGATCCAGCTCTGGCCCTGGGGGCCGGAAGGGACTCAGCAGTAAAGAGGAGTTAACAGTTGGCTCTGTGCCTTGTGGCTCTGGCTGCTTCACTTTGCTCATTCATTTACTCCTTATCTCCCCAGCCCAGATCTTCCAGGGGAAGTGAACAAACAGGAACTGAGTGCTCTCTGCCCAAACAAGGGTGTGGCTGGCCAGGAGTGGAGGCCCAGCCTGTAGGCTCCTGCTGGGTCTCCTCTTCCCTCTAGAGTCCAGTTAGCCCTCTGCCATCAGCCTCCACCCCTCTGGGTTCATGGGACCCTCTTGCCCAGGTCACTGCTGGTGGCCCAGGGGTCAGACCCAGCCATCAGGTGTACGACTCCAGTTCCCTGGTAGGGGTAGCACAGGTGGTGTGTCACTGTTCTGTAGTAGGGCTCAGCTTGCCCTGCCCAAACCTCCCTTTTCCCTCTGGCTGCAGATCTAAGCCAGCTCCCTCAGAGGATCTGGTGGGAACCGGAAGGATGGATGTGATGCTGCATGGGGGCATAGCCCTGCTCTCTGGAGCCAGAGGCCAGCTCCATCCCTGCTCCCCACTCCATGGCCAAGTAGGCTCAGGCCTAGAAGTTAGTTTGTGGCTCTTGGTCCCCCTGCATCAGAGAAGGCAGCAGTCCCCTCAGAATGCCAATACCAGTGACTGGAGGTAGCAGTTAAGTCAACAGATAATGAAATAAAAAACAAAAAAATCTGCTTCTACTAGGCTTGGCTTCGGAATATATCTAGGATTACCCTCCTCTTCTACACATTGGCACTCTGATCCTTCTTCAGAAGCATGGAGAAGTGGAAAGGTCTCAGATTCAAGCATCATATTACCAGGGAGGTACACATTCTTAGGAAAGTCATTTAACTTCTCCGAGCCTCAGTTCCTTCAACTAGAGATTATGAGGAGAATGAAATCTTTTAAGTATGGTACTGGGGACCCTGGCTCAAATCTGCAGGCTGTGCACTGTAGGTGACTGCAGCTCTGTCCCCTTAGAGACTTTCTATCTTGTGGCCAGCCCAAGGTGAGATCCCTCGCTTGAGTGTGGGCCCTTCACTCACCATCAATGATCTCCTCCTTCACTTTGTGAAGTTCTCTTACAACCTCCTCCAGGATCTCCTATTGGGAGTAGAGTGTCAAAGAGGAGGGACAGACAGCAGAGACAGGGGAGCTGGCCTTGGTGGGAGATGTGTCAGAAGGGTTG